ACGCACGCTGTACTGTAATTGGTCGCTATTGTCCTGCTTGTCAGATTCTATTGTTCAGGTGCGAATTAAGGCTACCTAATCCTTGGCTAATTGAATCACGAAAGTCTGTAATCAGCAGAGTGAATTCATGTTGTTCTATCGGCATGGCATGTGGTGTGTTTGAATGGGGGGGGGGGGGGGGGGGGGGGGGGCGATCGGACCAAAATGGCAAAGGCCCTTCAGCATATACAGAGCCGATTTGTGATATAGGATTTTCCGGCTAGATTCGCGAGTTTGTAATTCGAATTAATTAACTTTGCATTTGAGTTAGCGCAGATCGGCACTGCCATGCCAATTATCATTTAATTATCGTTATTTTATTTTATTTGGATTTTAGTTGAAGGGTTTCATAGATTTGTCATTAATTGAGAAACTGCTCAACAAGCATTCAAACTAATCATCACTTGTCGAGGCGTCGTTTCTATCATTTAACTTAACACCTGTCATTCGTAATCGAAATATTTTTATTAAGTCAGACAAAAATAATGAAAGACTAGCACATTGTTCATTAATTTGAATGAAACATATGAGATATAGAAACTTCATAGATTTGAAAACTAGTAAAAGGAATATAAACCCGTTATATACCTGACAGCACTAAAAACCGTCGAATTGGAGCGCAAGAGAAATTAATTTTAATGACAAATTCGCGAATTTGGCCGGGAAATCCTTCGAAAAATCGAGCTAACTAGGGCGGGAAATAAATAATGATAATTAGTTTCTTTTCACTTCACCACGCTGTTGGATTAAAGTAGAGAGTGAACACAAAAGAAACTTCAATTTTAAATGAGAAAACATAAACTTTGTCGATCACAAGACAGTGTGTGATTTTAAAGGAGGAGAAAACAAAAGTCCATGTTGCCAGGGTGTGTTTGCGTTATTAATTTTAGCTCTTGAAAAAACGAAAAATAAAAGAAAGTATGCTTTAAAGCAAATGTGTTAAGATTAAGAAACATGTGTTATTTCTTTTCTGGGGAACATTATCTTAGGGGCGTGTAAATCCTATACAAAAAGCAATAGCTTTTTGGAAATCTCGGACAAAATGCATAACAGTCGGAAAACAATTCAGTTTATCTTTACTATTTAACATGATTTAAAAGGAAGATGATCAATAGAAAAGAAAGAGAAGTGAGAGAGAGAGAGAGAGAGATAAACTGACACTGTAGTAAATTATGATATTGATGTGTTAGTTATTTTAAAAGGAGATCAAATGACAGAGAGGGGGGGAAGTCTAGAAGCCTAGTCTGCATGTATAGACTTGTTTTGCACTTTTAAAAAAGCTGCGTGCAAAACTTTGAAATTCCTGTATCTAGTAAAGATCAATTTTTAGTTGCTATTTTATTTGACAACCATTCAAATATGATATATGTTTCATTCAAATAGCAATTGTAAAGTGTGGTGTTTGTTTGGTTTGTTTTTAGCGTTAAAAATAGAGTCTGTTTCTGCAGACTATGTAGAGTTGACATCCTCTTGTTTGATCGCTATTGTCCGGCTTGCCAGATTCTTTTGTTCAGGTACGGATTAAGGCTGCCTACCTTGAATCACCCGAATTATATGTGGTCAGTAGTATGGGTATGGGCCCATCAGGAGGGGTGCATAATGGTCTTTATTCTTAAGGAGGCGCTATTCATAATAATAAATCGGGGTCGTTATTCATAGATAAGATTGACGTTCATCATAATACGACAAGGTGGGCACTCATGCTTTTTCGTATTATGAATAGCGACCCTCACGTTCTTATTATTAATAGCAGTACCGTAGAGTAGTGACCCCCAATTTAAATTATGAACTGAATGTGAATTATGAATAGCGACCTTCAACTCACTTATAAATAGCGGTCCTTATGCCGTTATGCATATATATGACACACCCCTTTTCCGTTTCATGATTATAGCGTGTCACGTTATGAATAGCGGTCCGTATGACTAGCGAGGCTACCCCACCAGGATATATAGTAGCTGGCAAATAATTGTATCTTTTATAAGTAGCCAAAAATAAATAGGCCTTCTTCCCTAGACATATTATGTTGGGCAAAAATAATAAAAAAAAAACATGTTTAGCGTCCTATTTTGGGGGAAAATAGGAAGGAGGAGGCCTTTTTTTTAAAATCAGAAATAGATCCATTTAGCAGTGTTTTCATTTTTTTTTCTTTAAAAACTCAACAAACAAAAAAAAACAAAAAAATAGGAGGCGGCCCCAAAAAGGAAGCGGGCGGGGACGCTAAACATGTATATATTTTTTAATGGCCTTGTCTTACAAGAGCTATATAGGGGCAAAAGTGACCCGTCACGATGAAATGAAACAGAACTCGCTGGCCTAGAAAATTTCGAATTTGCATATTTTTTTAAATCGGATGTTCAATGTTGCATGAATGTTCTGTAATGTTTTTTTCGCGTGTATTTTTGTTTGTCTTTAAATTTGTAGAGCTCTATTTAAAAAAAGAAAGATAACAGGAACTATACGTCGCGAATACAAGTGGGGGGTGGGGGGGGGGGGGGGGTATATCCACATCCCGGAGGGGTCATATGGACCATACGCCCATGCTACACCTTGCTGATCCATGAATAAGTAAGACTTAATGGCTTGACATCAGTTTGCATTGGCAATACGAACAAAATGACAAATAGCAAAAGGGGAAAAAGGAGAAGAATGGCATATGACAGAGACGGGGAGAAGTCTATAGAAACCTAGTCTGCATGTATAAACATTGTTTTGACACTTTCAGAAAGCCATGCGAACTCTGAAATTAATGTATCTTCTAAAGATATATTTTTTTAGTTCTTATTTATTGACAACCATTCAAATGTGATATTCTTGTATATACAGAAAGCAATTGTAATGTTTGTTTCTTTGTGGTTTTTTTAGCGTCAAAATAGAGTCTGTTTCTGCAGACTTTGTACAGTTGACATTCTCGAAAAACTCAAAAACACCAATGAGGCCGGTTCATTGTGGCGTCAAGCATTATATACCCCATCCCCCTATTTGCATGCTTACGAATATAAATACTTCCTGGCATCTCGTTTTGTGTATTTTTGAAAGAAAAGAAAGACAAGCGAGGACTGAGCATCATTGACACTGTCGAAATTTCTCTTTTCTTTTTATTAATATTATTGTTATTTTTACATTCTTTCATTTTATTCAATTATACGCCCATCTGAGCTTCCCCATTCTGGTTATGGAAAATTGTTGTTAACCGTTTTTAACATAACATTCTATCGCTTCTTTAGCACGGGCCTCGAGCCCGAGATATATCGTTAGTAAGTCATTCGCTTTTTCTCCTTCGGCGCCTGATATCTCCCACATTTCCTGTTTTTTTCATTTATATAGTGCAACATTTCTTATGTTTTCGCTCAACAAAACTCAAATTATCAAACAGCGAGGTAAACTGAACAGTGTCATCATGAATTAATATTAGTTTGATGATATCCTTCACCTCGATCCCTAGATAAGTCAAGAGCCAGCTTCGTGAGTTCCTTGGTATGATAACCTACCTTAGCCCATTCATACCAAATCTTTCAGCCCAGACTGCAAGCCTACGTGGTCTTTGAAGCAGGACGCTGAATTCCAATGGACTCCAACGCACCAGTCTGCCTTCAATGATTTACGTGACAAGGTATGTCACGATGCAACTCGGGCGTATTTCGATGTTAACAAGCCTACGGTACTGCAGGTAGATGCTTCTCTGCAGGGCTTGGGAGCGACTCTACTGCAGGATGGAAAGGGTATCGCGTTGCATCAAAGGCCCTCAGTGATGCAGAGACGAGGTACGCCAACATAGAGCGAGAGCTGCTTGCAGTGGTCTTCGGCTGTGAACGATTCCACATCTTCCTGTACGGGAAAAGTTTCATAGTTGAGACGGACCACAAGCCCCTGGAGATGATCCAGCATAAGCACCTGGCAGCGGCTCCACCTAGACTCCAGCGTATGCTCCTTCGTCTACAGCCATACAAGCTGACAATTGTCTACAAGCTGGTAAGGATGTACCAGTAGCTGACTGCCTATCCAGACGTCCTCTTGGTCCTCCAGAACACATCACCTTGACCTGCAAATCAACTTTGTACAGTTTGCTCCAGACCGTTTGAGTCAGTTGAAGGAGGAAACAGCCAAGAATGCAGAGTTTGCAGCACTACAGACGGTGATTGTGAAAGGGTGGCCAGAGAAGAGACGTGAGCTACCACGGCAGCTGCAGAGATACTGGGCCTTTCGAGATCAACTTGCAGTTGAGGATGGACTGATCCTGAATGGTGAACGAATCCTTATTCCACACTCCATGAGGGAGTACATACTGAGCAAGCTCCACGAAGGTCTCAAGGTATCGAGAAGACACGACTTCGGGCTAAGGCTTCTGTGTACTGGGAATCAATCAATGACGATATCGAGGTCCTGGTGAAAGGCTGCTCAGTCTGCCAAGAGTACAAGCCCTCGCAGCCCCATGAGACTCTTCTCCAGCACGAGATACCCACACGATCCTGGCAAGTCTTAGGTACAGACTTATTTCACTTTGAAGGGAACAATTATCTCATCATTGCAGATTACTTCTCAAAGTTCCCTTTCATCCGGAAAATGCCTCAAGAGTGTACCAGTGCTGCAGTAGTCAATGCGACCCGTCAGGTGTTCGCAGAACAAGGAGTTCCAGAAAGAATCGTTAGCGACAACGGAAGACATTTTGACTCCTCAACATACAGAGACTTTGCTACACAGTGGGGATTCAGCCATGTTACATCCTCTCCCCACTACCCCAGGTCAAATGGCTTCATTGAGCGAATGATTCAAACTGTCAAGAATACGCTCAAGAAAGCTAAAGTGAGTGGTATCGACCCCAACATGGCTCTACTATGTATCCGTGCCACTCCAATTGACAGCCGCATACCAAGCCCAGCTGAGCTTCTTTACGGGAGGAAGATGAAGGACAACTTACCAACTCGAATCCGCAACAACTCCCCTGGTCGTGATGATGTTAACCATCGTATGCAGCTTCGACAGCAGAGCCAGAAGTATCATCACGACAAATCAGCCCATGACCTAGCACCACTCTCACCTGGGCAGCTTGTGAGAGTCCGAGACCAGACATCACGTCACTGGATAACAGCTACTGTTCGTGAGCAATGCCATGAGCCTAGGTCATATCTCGTCGAGACGCCTAATGGAAGGGTGCTTCGCAGAAACCGGCAACACCTCGCTGATATTGAGCCCAGGCGTATCCATCATGATGAGGAGGTAACCAAGACACCCGATCCTCATACACGCGAAGAGATGACGCTTGATCCAACGCCCGTCATCAGAGGTTCTCCTGCCCCAACCCCTGCCCCAAACCCTGCCCCAAAACCTGCCCCAAACCCTGTTCCAATCCCCAACCACCAGCAGACCACCCGCAGTGGCCGGGTAATCAAGAAGCCAGAAAAACTGACTTATTAATAGGACTTCATCTTTGGATACTTCAAGTTTGGACATTATGGACTCAGTTTATTTTTCTGTAAGGGGGATGTAATATGTGATCTTATACATTGACTCAATGCTACATGCTATACACACATACACACAGTTAATGTACACTGTGGTGTATGGGCTTTTGTATACACAATATAAACCAGTCATGCTGGATTGCAACTTCACTCTGATGTTTCTCTATGTGTCTTCATTTGAGTACTAACCATACAGCTAAACAACCCCACATTATACTATCAACATATCCATAAAAACTACCGTCCTTTTCAGTTTGCTTTAAAAAAAAAATATTTATTAGACTTAATCGTATTTTAAAGAATAAGAACAATAAAATGATTGATATTTTGTAATTTCCCGTAGTGAAAAAAAGGGTTTATAAATAGACCGGGCTATTTATTACTGACATTTTTCTTCTCACCTCCTTAACTACTCACTCATTTTGGAATCATCTTGACAAACTCATTTTTTCTCTCTTTCAAATTCTTCGTGTCTTTTCTTAACGCTTTTTAAAATACATTTGGAGTTTGGCCACCGTTTTTAATGACAAAGAATTAAGACGTGAGCTGACCAGAAAATTAATATTGATATTTTCTTATCTTTCCTCCTAAATCCAGCACTTGTATTCTCGACAACAACATCATCTAAATAGGCTATACACCCATTCTACTGACCACATCCTATTTCGACTGGGGTAGGGACTATAATAGAGTCACACAATTTGAGCATGTAACACTGTGTGTTAAATTTCTTCCCCCTCTGACATTCCTCACTTGGAGAAACATATTTCGATAACGAATGGTGACAGGTGTTAATTTAATGATAAACACGATGCCTCGACAAGTGACGATTAGTTTGAATGCTAGTTGAGCAGTTTCTAAATCAAATGACAAATCTATAAAACCCTTCGTCCAAAATCATAAATTAAATAAAATAATGGGAGAATTGAATTATAATTGGCATGGCAAAGCCGATCTGCGCTAACTCAAATGCAAAGTAAATTCGATTACAAACTCGCTAATCTGGCCGGGAAATCGTAGAGCCTTTGCCATTTTGGTCCGATCGCGTTTATACCCCCCCCCCCCCCCCCCCCCCCCCCCCCCCCCCCCCCATTTTAAACACACACTTGCCATGCCGATAGAACAACATGAATTTAAATATTCACGCACTCTGCTGAATACAGTCTTGGGTGATTCAGGTTATGCAGCCTTAATCCCTACCTGAACAATAGAACTGGCAAGCCGGACAATAGCGATCAAACAACAGCCTTTAATACTTTGCCGTGCGTGCATGCCTACGACGTATTTTTGAATTTTCCCGAGAATGTCATAGTCTGCAGAAACATACTCTTATTTTACCCAAACCCACAACAACACACACACTTTACAATTGCTAATCGGATTAATGAAAAACATATCATATTGGAATGGTTGCCAAATGAAATAACAACTAAAAATTGATCTTTACTATAGATACCGGTACAGTAATTTCAAAGTTTGCACGCGGCTTTCTAAACAAAACAAAGTCTATACATGCAGACTAGGCTTCTAGACTACTGTCATTTGATCTCCTTTTACAATAAACGCATCAATATCATTATATGATACAGTGTCAGTTATTTTTCTCTCTCTCCCTTCTCTTTCTTTTATATTGATCATCTTCCTTTTTTCATCATGTTAACAGTAACTGAATAGTTTTCAAACTGTTATGAACTTTGTCCGAGATTTCCACGGATTTCCACGGCCCTAACATAGTTAATGCATGTTCCCCAGAAAAGAAATAACACCCGTGTCTTTTATCTTAACACATTTGATTTAAAAGCCTACTTATTAATTTATTTTATTTTTCGTTTTTCTAAAAAACTAGGATTAATAACACAAACACACCCTTAACAGGTTGATTTTTGTTTTCTCCTTTTAAAATCACACACCTGTGATCGACAAAGTTTATGTTTTCTCTTTTAAAATTGAAGTTTCTTTTAAGTTCACTCTCTACTTTTATCTAACGGCGTGGTGAAGTGAAAAGAATCTCATCACCATTATTTATTTTCCGCCCTAGTATAGCTCGATTTTTAGAAGGATTTCCCACCCAAATTCGCGAATTTGTCATTAAAATTAATTGTCTTGAGTTAAAATTCGACGCTTTTTAACGGCTGTCGGGTATATCTCGGGTTTATATTCCTTTTACTAGTGATTATAAAACCCTTCGACCAAAATCCAAATAAAATAAAATAACGGGATAATTGGTATGGCAATATGCCGAGCTGCGCTAACTCAAATGCAAAGTAGATTAATTCGAATGACATGCGAATCTGGCCGGGAAATCCTATATCACAAATCGCCTCTGTATGCTTAAGGGCCTTTGCCATTTTGATCCGATCGCGTTCAAAACCCCCCCCCCCCCCATTCTAACACACACATTCCATGCCGATAGAACAACATGAATTTAAATATACACCAACTCTGCTGAATACAGACTTTCGTGATCAAATTAGCCAAGGGATTAGGTAGCCTTAATTCGCACCTGAACAATAGAATCTGACAAGCAGGACAATAGCGACCAATTACAGTACAGCGTGCGTCGCCGCGCGCGTGTACATAGTAAAAAGTGTGAAGTACTGGTACGTAGATGCTTCATTGTTGACAGCATAAATGTATAGGTGCTTCAACCAGATACACCGCATCCCTAGCTGCTTCAACTTAGTCTTGTTTGTTATTATTCATATCTATTCAGTCCCAAAATAACCGACAGAGGTGTACGTTTGATTTATATTTCCTTCGAAAGACAAATCGGGGCCTGATTTCTAGACTGTGAACTCGTTCTAGCTTTCAATTAAACGCAACAAATCAGAACTGGAAAAATGACGGCGGCATGGGCAGATCTAGAGTCGGACTTCGGGTAGCTGGACGGATCGCCGAGCTGGACCCATCAACAAGCAGCTGCGAGGAGAACCGCAGATTATTTCTCCTTGTCAGTGGGATCTGACTAGACATTGACAATAACTGCCTTGACTTGACAAAACTGATATTACATGCATCTACCTTGAATTGACATGATCTGCATCGACTTGACAAAGATAATAATCTACCCGGAGTTGACAAGGATAGTATTATCTGACCTGACTTGAACAAGATAATATAATCCCCCGACTTGACGAGGATAAAATTATCTACCCGGACTTGACAAGGATAATATTATCTGACCTGACCTGACAAAGATAAAATTATCTACCCGGACTTTGACGAGGATAATATTATCTGACCTGACTTGACAAGTTAATATTATCTGACCTGACTTGACAAAGATAAAATTATCTGACCTGACTTGACAAGGATAATATTATCTGACCTGACTTGACAAAGATAAAATTATCCGACCTGACTTGACAAGTTAATATTATCTGACCTGACTCGACAAAGATAAATTATCTGACCTGACTTGACAAGTTAATATTATCTGACCTGACTTGACAAAGATATGACTATCTTTTACATTATATACACATATATATATATATATATATATATATATATAAAAGTTTCTCACTCGGACAGGTATCTTTGTCTTCACAATTGTAATACCTGGAAATGCAACACAATAATAAAGTCACTTAATGGAACGCAATATATCACATTGATATATATATATATATATATATATATCAATGTGATATATATATCTATCAATGTGATATATTGCGTTCCATTGAGTGACTATATTGTGTTGCATTTCCAGGTATTACAATTGTGAAGACAAAGATACCTGTCCGAGTGAGAGACTTTTTTTAATTTAAAAAAAAGAAACATATTAGCTGAAATTATATAAACGTAAGCTTTGACAAATTGAAAAAGGGTAGTGAATTTCATTCTGACCTTTAAAAAAAATGAAAATAATGCTTAAAAGACGTGAAATTGGATTTCCCACTTTTTGCTAAATATTGAACAATGATTTGTTCATTTTGAAAAGATATACTGTTAGGAATGTAGACTCCAGATTTTAGAAAAAGTCATCTCCCATAGGGATTACACGCAAAAAGTAATGGATTAAGTGAAAATAGGGTAATAATAAAGTAAAAAGGGTTATTTATGACATTATTTGCGAATCTACGTGTTTAAATAATCAAAGGAGATGGTACAGTGAAGGTCAAAAGGAAAAAAAAGTGAAGAAAAAAAAGTGTTGGAGACACCCGGACTCGAACCAGGGATCTCGAGGTTGGAAGTCAAGTGCGTTACCGATATACCAAAACATCTCCCGTAGCGATTACACGTAAACGGGAAATGGAATTCAGAAATCCTACTTTGCAAGTGAAATATGAGCATGATCCCGGCATCTAATCGAAAAATAAAAGACACACTTTTGATAGCTCATTTTCTCGGCTACAACATATCCAAAGCTCAGCGAAAACAAAGCTAAAACAACGGAGATTTTGCTCGCGAAAGACAGGAGTGTAGAATCCAGTTTTGAGAAAAAGTCATGTCCCATAGAGAATACACGCAAAATGCGAAAAATTGACATGCCTCCTTTAATCGCAAAAATACACCATGATAGTTTTGTCAAAAATAAAAATTGTGAATATTACATTTGTAGAAAATTGTCTCAGCTAGAACTTATCAAAATTAAAAAAAGAAAATTGATCCATATTTACAGAGATACAATCAATTTTCCAAAAATATGCTGACGTCATAATATGCAAATTAAAATTTTGAGTTTGGAGGCCATTATGATGACGTCATGAGTTAATTGAGGATCAAATGAGACATGAAATCATATCTCCGACTCATAATCTATCCAAATATGAAAAAATATTAGGAGTTTCTATCTATTTTAAAGAGTTACAATGAATTTTATATAGGCATGTTTTTGCCCATGTATTGTGGATAAAGATAACGCAAATCCGCGCGTGCTGTCAACTTTGACGGACGCTCATTGCGTTAATAAAAGGTGAACAAATTATCAAAATGCTTGGAAAAATG